CGGCCAACTCTTGGCGGAACCTTGGCCCGGTCAGGCAATAGAGGAACACGTGGAGCGCCTGGTTGAGATACATCAGGCAGTTGGTCAGTGTCCAGCCCAGGTGGAGGCGCGCGGAGGCCAGGGGCTGGTTCTCCTCTGCCACATACGTGTACACGATGATGTAGACGTTGATGGGTGAGTTGAGAAGCAGGAAGGCTACGGTTATCGCGATCAGAGTTTTGCTCACGCTGGACGTGGAGCGCGTAGTCTTGGAGGTTTGGCGTTTGGGAACGTGTTTCGGGTTCTTTGTTGAGCTCCCTGTGGCGTCGAGTGCTGATGGAGATGTGTTTTTTGAGCTCGCGGTGTGATCGATGATTGAGCGCGGTGTGTTTCTTGAGTTCGATTTGGTGTCAATTTTTGAAGGTAGGGTGTTTCTTAAACTCTCTGTCGCGTCGATTATTGAGAGAGGTGCTGGTGTCTTCTTTTGAGGGCTGTTAGTGGTGTTTTGTTTGTCTATGTTTGAATTGAAGTCTGTGTCTGTTCCAGTGACGTAGAGTGTACTCTGTGCGAGAGAAGATCCATCTCGTGTGTTTTCTACTTTGATTGTAAAAGGCTGTGATCTGCTTTGACTTTTAAACTCATTGCGTATCTCGATACGCGTTTGCTGTTTCAGAGTTTTCATGGCATACTTTGTAAAACCATCCCTTTCATTTTCATCCCAGTTGGTGGAGGTTTCCGGATTTTGAGCCGTTTTTGGGCTTCTCCAGGCGGGAGAAGTTTGTTTGGAATCACCAGGTTGTTCTAGATGTGCCGAATTATTTTGTAATGAAAGTTTTATCATACTAACCGGAGAGCAAGACGCTTCATTATGAGTGTCTTCGAAGAAGGAAGGGTCTTTGGTTTCTTCCTGTGGCCAGACTTTGGCGCTGTGAGATCTCCGTCTCGAGCCATGATGAGGAGACTTCGTCATCGTCACGCTCTCTTGCACCGGAGTGTCAATTCTCTGTTCTAGCACTTGGAAATCCACCTGTTCTGTAGGCCCTGCGTCTTCGTTTCTGGGATTCTCCTCCTCCTCCTCCACCTCTTCGCCCTCCTCCTCCTCCTCCTCTTCCACATCGTCGATAAACTGTTTCTCACTGTCTTTTCTCTCTCGCGTCGTCTTCGTGAAAAATCCTCGGAGTGTGTTCTCAATAGTAAACACTTGCCTCCCCCTCCCACTAGTTGACGTCACAGTTTGAGAAGGGGGAACAAACACTTTCTTGTAACCGTTTCTCTTGAGATTTATCGAGTCTTTGCCGTGGCTGCAAACGTGGTCCGATACTACTATCTCTTCCCCTGCTGAGCAGCCATATTTCTTCTCATCAAGGACATAACTCTCCCACACATCTGAAATCGACTTATCTATCATACTCTTCCCTACTCCTAGACTTATTCTACCAGGCTCTGTATCTGTTGGTGTGAGGCAGTCTACACCCACAGGACTTAACGACGAAGACAAATACAAAGCCGAAAATGGAGTCACAACCAGACCTTGAACTTTCCTTTCGTGAGTACTATCAAGCTTGCCCTCATTTTCTGGTGAAGTCTGGGAGCCATCATCCACACCCCACACCTCTAACTCGTTCTGCGAAGAGAAATTCTCCAACCCTACACAACTGTCCGCAACACTGTTCTTTGATGTAGTACAGTGTGAGTCTTTGCTGCTCAGCACAGCAGCTCCACGACAGGTTATGTCCACTGGCATGTCAGTGACAGATGCCGTGACTCCGTCATCGCTCTCTCGTCTTAGCTGCTTCTGGATTGTGGATTCTAAAGGTGTCACATCTGACAGTTTGCCACTCTCCAACAAAACTGATGGTCCAGGATTAGTTAAGTCCTTTTGGTGTTCAAATACGTCGTTTTCGTGATTAACTGTGCCCTCTTCGTGATTAGGTAGACCCTTTTTATTGTCAGCCAAGTCATTTTCATTATTGGTTATGTCCTGTTCAAGATCAGATAAGTCCTTTCTGTAATTAATTGAGTCCTTTACTTGATTAATTTGGCCCTTGTCATGATCAGTTCGGTGCTTTTCAACTACAGACCTGACAACCCTCTCAGCCTGACAGCAATTGTTACTTTCACTCACGCCAGACATAGCTCTGTTCAGGTCGAAATCTGACACTCTGGAATTACAGCGAGCCTTCGGTGACCTAGTTTTACTTTGACCTGTCTTTGACCCTTTCTGGGGAACGTCGTCCATGACCTTTGATCTCCCAGACCTCCGTCGGTGATCTGCCATCTTCCTGTCCGACCTCACCAGTTGACGGATTATGATGACGTTACAGGCCAGAATGAGGACAAAGGGAATCAGGAAGTACACACACAAGTCGATCCAAGGCCACACCTTTTGGATGAATCTGAAAGACAGTGAAAACAACAATCCAGAATCTGGAGGACAGTGAAAACAATAATCAAGAATTTGCAAGACAGTGAAATCAAGAGTCCAAAACTCGTGCCAACTGGCGTAATTGATTGATTAACAAATGGTTCTGAAATAATTAGTGCTAGTTTACCAGTGGAAGGTGGATTGCTTGTATTCAGGTGTTGTTTGCTCTTTCTTTCCTTTCAAACATATATTGCCCTCCCACACGCCCACCGCCGTTCGACCTCACTCACACCACAGAAATAGGACTAGACAAATCCATGTAACATCTTAGCCCGCTGTCTCCAATAACCCTCCTCCACTCTCTCTCTCTCTCTCT